AAAAAAAAAAAAAAAAAAGACCAAAACCTTGATACAGAAATGTAATTATTATAATGCATTCTGAGCAGTCACTGTAATCCTTGAGGTGTTAAGAAACAGAGTTTTCAGGACTATGTAACAAATGGAAAAATATAAGATTAGAGATGAGGCTGCCCAAAAGTACAATCCTGTTGAACAATTGTGGACAGAAGCATCCTTCATGCACCATTTTGAGACATTAAGATTTCTTACAATTTCTCTGCTGTCCTCACTGATGAACAAACTCTTTCACTTAATATAAAATAGCACAAAATAAAGTGAAACACTTTGGTTTAGATATTTGATCCACATCTCTTTAGACTGTGAAAGGGAGCAAGCAACATGTGAAGTAAGAGAGAAACAACTGACTCATAATCCAGAGAAATGCAGGAAACAGAAAAACAATAGAGAAAGACTCTAATAAAAGCAAATAACATGGAAAGGGAGAAAAACTGAATTGTAATGCCATTCTGGGGCAACAAATCCATTCAATTCATTAACCTCATCAGAAGAAGAAATGTATCTCTAGAGTCAAATAAAAAAAATTGAAGATCTTGTCTCAAAATATCCCCATCTACAGAAGATTTAGGCTATTTATTAGCTTAATATATTTAAAAGGTAAAAGCAACAATAAATACTATTGTCCGTTGTGTTGTGTTGATCCCAGCCTGCAGCAATGCTGCCTCCCAGTCTCTCGCTCACTCCCCCCACAGAGGGATGGGGTAGAGAATCAGAAGAGCAAATCTCAAAGCTGGTGGGTTGAGGCAAAGAGAGATTAATAGGTGAAGCAAAGCTGTGTGTATAAGCAAAGCAAATGAGAGAACACATTAGCTGTTTCCTATCATTAGGTCCAACCACCTCCTGGAAAGCATGCCCTCAGCTTTTGTCATGGTTACTTGAGAAGACAAACTCCATAACCATGAACATCCCCCCTTCCTCCTGCTTTTCCCCAGCTTTTATTGCTGAGCACAACACCATATAGTATGGAATATCCCTTTAGTGGGAAAAAGAAATAAAAAAACCTCAACACCATGTAGACACTGCTCATCAACAACTAAAACATGGATGCTTTATCAACACTGCTTTAGTCACAGATCCAAAGCACAACATCACTAGGGCTGCATTAAAGAAAACTCTGTCCCAGCCAGACCCAGTACACCCATAGATGAGGTACAGGCCAGATGCCAGTATTCTTGCGCCTGACAGTCAGCACCTTCTTCCATGAAGTGACCAGAACCAATGAAAGAAACGTGTTAGTTATATATTTGCTTTTGCATTGATTGAGACACAGCAGACATTGTAAGTGCTTATCCAGTTAGTGGGTTGCTTAAGTAACAGAGTTTACAAAACAGTAACACTATGCTGGTTGAGAATAGTTAGCATCTGTTTAAGAGACATGATCTTCTAATAATATAAGACCCTTGTAAAGACTCAGAAGAAAACACCTTCAGTGGATATAAGCTTGAGCTGCAAGTGCAAAATAACAATTCAGTACAACATATGAAAATACAATTAAAAAAAATGAAGAAAACAGACTAGTGCCCTATTTAGCACATAAGACAGTGTGAACTATTGACATCACTAGTTTCAATAAATTTACTGATGCAGTGTCAGAGCTAAAACTATGGAAGAAACTGTTCTCTGAGTAATGAAATGCTATTTACTAGTGTTGTCTCATTTTGTAAGGAAGGTGTGTGCAAAAGATAAATAGTTTAACTGTGACTCATAGTCAAAGAGATCATGGCTGGAATTACAGGTAATTATAATTTCTGAGAAGCTCACCTCTGAGTTTGGACAGCGTTAAAGATTCTTGATTAGCAATCTGCCACCTTTATAATGTTGTGGAAGGCACAAGAAGTAAAGAGGGCAGTCAAATCAACCTTCATTAATCTTGTATGCTTAAGCTTACAGCTCTTATATAAATAGAATATTAAGATAAATTACCAAGAGTCGGTGTTCTGCCAGAAAAAGTCTCAACCTCTTTTGTTGGCATACAGCTTTGACAGTGTTTTAATCCGTATTAAGTGTCTGTTCTGTATTGTAAGCCTATGTCCCTCAAGCAGATGGCATTCTAATTATTCATATTTGTAATAGACTTTCACCCCTTTACGAGAAAACTAATGTGAGATAGATTTTAAAGCACCCAAACAATATTTTTAAATTGCCTTCAACTGGTGAGCTAACTGTGGAGGACTTCTTAATCCCTCTACCTACATCCTTTTGGAAACTAAGAAACTCTTTAGGTCAGTTTTTTAATGGCATATTATTTCCTCATGTATTGGTTTTGTGTGGCAGGACTTTTGGTAGTGGGGGGGCTACATGGGGTGGCTTCTGTGAGAAGCTGCAAGAAGCTTCCCCTACGTCTGACAGAGCCAATGATACCCGGTTCCAAGATGGATCCATCGCTGGCCGAGGGCAAGCCCATCAGTGGTGGTGGTAGCGCCTCTGTGATAATGTATTTAAGAAGAAGGAAAAAACCCAAACAGGGCAATTGCAGCTGGGAGAGAGGAGTGAGAATATGTGAGAAAAACGACTCTGCAGACACCAAGGCCAGTGAAAAAGTAGGGAAGGGTGTGCTCCAGGTGCTGAAGCAGATATTCCTCTGCAGTCTGTGGTGAAGACAATGGTGAGGCAGCTGTGCCCCTGTAGCCCACAGAGATTAACGGTGGAGCAGAGATCCACCTGCAGCCCAGGGAGGACCCCATGCCAGAGCAGGTGGATGCACCCAAAGGAGGCTGTGACCCCGTGGGAAGCCCACACTGGAGCAGGCTCAGGGCAGGACCTGTGACCCTGTGGAGAGAGGAGCCGACGCTGGAGTGGGTTTTCTGGCAGGACTTGTGACCTCACAGGGGACCCACGCTGGAGCAGTCTGTTCCTGAAGGACTGCACCCCATGGAAGGGACCCACACTGGAGCAGTTCATGAAGGACTGCAACCCATGGGAAAGACCCATTTTGGAGAAGTTAATGGAGGACTGTGTCCCATGGGAGAGACCCAATTCTGGAGCAGGGGAAGAGTGTGAGGAGTCCTCCCCTGAGGAGGAAGGAGCAGCAGAGATGTGTGATGAACTGACCACAACCTACATTCCTCGTTCCCCTGAGCCTCTGGCAGGGGGGAGGTAGAGAAAATCAGGAATAAAGTTAAGCCCAGGAAGAAAGGAGGGGTGGAGGGAAGGTGTATTTGAGATTGGGTTTTATTTCTCATTATCCTACTCTGATTTGATAGGTAATAAACTAATTTTTCCCCAATTTGAGTCTGTTTTGCCTGTGATGGTAACTGGTGAATCATTTCTCCCTGTCCTTATCTCGACCCACAGGCCATATGTTATATTTTTTCTCCCTTTCTTGCTGAGGAGGGGAGTGATAGAGTAGCTTGGTGGGCACCTGTCATCCAGCCAAGGTCAACTCACCACATCTCATTATATCATCAGCTTTGTTTTCATTAGGCTTGAGAGAGATACATCCAGCTGCACAAATCACAGTCTCACTCAGATACCATTAGATATAGACCAAAAAAACAAAGAAGATATTGTATTTCAAAATGCCTTTCTTAATTGGGAATATATTGAGACATCAGACACAAAAGTTGTTTTAAAATTATTTCTTTAACATCTTAAATGCTCGCAGGTCT